GGGGGGGGGGGGTTAAAGGCTGACAGGAAGGGAACCCAAGGGTGGAAGGCACAGATATTCTAGCAGTGATTTAGGGAGAGTGAGTGCCAAGGAGGGGCAGCCAGGCTCAGGAGAGACGGAGGGTGGCAGACAGAGGTTAGCAGAGCGAGAGGGGAGAGGCGGAAAGGACCGGGGCTTTGTCGGGGAGCTGAGGAGCCGAAGAGCAGGTGGGAGAGGCAGTCCGAGGAAAGATTTATTGACAGAAAGCGAGAGCAGGAAATATGTGGTGTTGGAGACAGGCGGAAAGACAAAGGACAAGCAGCTACAGAGCAAAACAAAGACAGACCGACAGACCGGCGGGAACTGGTAGGCAGAGGCCGGTAGGAAGGTGAGAGACAGTCAGTCAGGGCTGTACATGGAGACAGAGGAACAGGCAAAGCGACTGTGGAGAACCAGAGAGAAAATCGGGTGGGGGGAAAGGATTAAATAAACCCCCAAGGGAAGGGACAAGGGAAAGAAGGGAACACAGAGGTGGAGACAGAGAAGAGTGAATACTAGAGCTGGGGGGAAATGGGAGAGAGGGATTAGGAGATCCCCATCACAGAGCTGTTAAAACGAGGCCCAGAGGGGAAAACAACAGGCTGAGGGGACTGCGACTGTTGGAAGTAAGCACAGGTGGAAAATAGGAGTGAAGGGTTTAAATGTAATTGGACTAGAATCAGAGAGGCCAAGGTCTAGACGGTGAGGTAGAAAAACAAAGTAGAATTGGGTCGGAGAGTTTGGTCCTTTAATAGAAGCAGCACCTTCAAAACTCTAAACTGAATGCCTCGATTAACAAAAATATCGCCCCTAAGTGAAAAACAGAAACCCACAAAATGTGACATACTTACAGAGCATGTTACAAATTGAGGCTCCCAGTGAGCACCCTTCTTGGTAATACTTGATAGTATCTCTAAAGGGTGCCCAAGAAGTAGACTGTTAGGGAAATCTGACTGTTTCAGTGGTTAACTAGTAAAACCCTTACAGGAAGGGTGAGATTAGCTACTGGGGCCGGGGGGTGGGGTGGGGGTAGGACATAAGCAGATGCCTGAAGAGTTTGGGATCACACACAAATTTCCATTGTGGTCACCCAGTGAAACTTCAAGAAGGCAGGACTGGATTGTGATTATAATTGATTAAGTGACATCTCATCAACTAGAATGGTTATAGATAGTGTGGACCCAGATATAGATGAAGGGAATCAGAGAGGCATGGCCAGTTGGGACTCGAAAAAGAGAAGCTAAAAAAATACAGAGGTTGGCAGATGCTACATTTGGTACAGTGAGTTGGGTCACCATGGCGGTGCTCTGTCAGACCTCACCATGGCTCAGTAAGGTGGTCCTCAAGACTAACTCCATGCCTACCAAGCTACTTGCTGATGAATTATTTGTTTTCTGGCACAGAGGAGGGGCTTTCCTGGATAGGGGAACATTGATATTTGATGGTCTTCGAACATTATCCTGATCATAAATTAATAAATTGCTAGGTGAATAATTGCATCAGTCTTTTGTGAGTGTGGTTACATTGAGTCACTTTTTTTGGCTCCAATCATGTCTTGATATAATGCAATGCTGGATTGTGGAAACTTTGCTGTGGGACGATCTCTTGGCACTAACTTTATGAGCTACAAAGCCCTAAAGTGTTCTAAGATTCTCTACTATCAAAAAGCAAACCTAATTTATTGAGTAGAATGGACTTAGAGCAAGTGAATGGATTCAGACAACTTAGAGTGATTCTCAGGGCTAACGGTTGAAACCAAAAGAATCTTTTAGCCAAATTAACCTTGAATTAACAAGAAAATTAATTAAACAGAAATCTTCATAACTGAGTTGTCAAGGCTTTATTGTATATAAAATCTGAATTTGGAAATTAGGAGCCCTCACTCCTAATTGCAAGAGATTACATAAGGGAAGTTATTCTTTTTTTAAAAATGTATCTATATTGATTTCAGAGAGAGGAAGGGAGAGGGAGAGAGAGAGAGAAACATCAATGATGAGAGAGTCATCACTGATCGGCTGCCTCCTGCACACCTCACACTGAGGATGGAGCCTGCAACCTGGGCATGTGCCCTCACCAGGAATCGAACCTCGATCTCCTGGATCCTAGGTCAATGCTCAACCACTGAGCCACACCCGGCTGGGCAAGGGAAGTTATTCTTTAAAGAGTTGCTCCTGTGAAAAAGATGAAGGGAATTAAGAAGTACAAATTGGTATTTACAAAACAGTCACAGGGATGTAAAGTATACAGCATAGGGAATATAGAGTCAATAACATTGTAGTAACTATGTATGGTGCCAGGTGGGACAGCAAATATCAGGGGGAACACTTTGCAAAGTACATGATTGTCTAACCACTATGCTGTACACCTGAAACTAATACAAAATAATATTAAATGTAAACTGTAATTGAAAAATAAAATTTTAAGAAGGGTGCTCTTGTATTGAAATGAAGTGTTTGTTTAGAATCATTAACTTAAAGTTGTAGCATTCCAGACTGAACATTTGTTGCACTCCTACCACATCAGGTAACCTTTATGCCTTATCCCATTTAATTCCACATCATTCCAGGGTTTTTTTAGTATGTTTTTATTGATTTTAGGGAGAGAAGAAGGGAGATGGAGAGAGAGAAACAGCAATGATGAGAGTGATTGATTGGCTGCCTCCTGCATGCCGCCTACTGGGGATCTAGCCTGCAACCCTGGCAGGTGCCCTCACTGGGAACGGAACCGGCGACCTCTTGTTGCATGAGACGTTGCTCAACCAACTGAGCCACACGGGCCAGGGCTCATCCCAGTTTTTATTTTTTTATTTTATTTTTTAACATATCTTTATTGATTTCAGAGAGAGGAAAGGAAGGGGGAGAGAGAGAGAAAGAAACATCAATGATGAGAGAGTCATTGATCGGCTGCAGCCCGCAACCCGGGCATGTGCCCTGACCGGGAATCGAACCCCGTTCTCCTGGATCCTAGGTCGATGCTCAACTGCTGAGCCACACCCGGCCGGGCTCATCCCAGTTTTTTAATGAGTTAACCAAGGCAACTTATTCAGGGTTACCTAGCCAGTTGGTGACAGGGCCTGGATGCAAACACACACACACATATTTTTTCTATTATACCATCTGTAGCCAACATCTGCTGTTTTTGCCTGCCTAGCACTGTAGAGATTTTCCTTGGAAAACCACTCTTCTCTCACTGCCCCCTCAATGGGCATGTGACCCAGGCCTAGCCAATCATAGCACCATATTCTCTTTCCCTGCGATGAGCTCATGACATAAGCGGAGCCTATGAGCCTCAGCACCGTGATTTCTACTAGAACTTTTGGCTAAGATGTACTATGCGAGCTAACTGCTAAGCCAGTAGGCTGTAGGAGATCTTCCCTGAGCATGAAGCCAACATAATCACACACAAAAAGGGCTCAAAAGACAGAGAGAGATTTCTAGCATCATATGAGTATCTGCTCAGTTTCTGCCTGAAGCCAGAACTTGCCCACGGCCATTCAGTTACACAAACCAAAAAACTCCTGGGTTTGCTCAAGCATAAGAGTTGAGGTTTTTTTTCACTTTTAATAATGAGTCTCGCTTAATACACCACCTTCAAGATTATCCAGTCTTACACTTCAATTTGCAGAAAACTGAAGCCTACAAAGGTTGCGATTTACCCAAGCACCAGCTAGTTTATGGCACAGTCAGAATTAGAGTCCAGGTCTTTGATTTCGTTCGGGCCCCTTCTTAGACACTATTTTGCCCCTTTCTTTATAGAAAGGCTGAAAAGTGGAGAAACTTGAAGGTAGGAAGATAGGAGCCAGCTGACAACTGAAGATCAATCAGGTCAGATAAATTGCCTCTGAAGTGGCATTTATAAGTTAGATGCTTCCGTTTGAAAGCCAGACTTCTATTCACCAAGTATTGATTTCTGCGCTTTTCAGGAGTGCGGTAAACTGCTCAGGACGGAGGTGCATTTTAGCTTTCCCCGCAG